CAGACCTTCGGGTGATATAAATAAAACATATAATCGATAGTATTTTGAATGTATTTTCAGATTAAAATGTATAAATTCTTGACATGGAGTGGGATTTGATAATTATTTTATTAGATCACGATTTTTTTATGTTTTGAAACAATCACATAATGTTTCATTTTTACCAAAAATAACATTTTTACTATATTTTATTGCATAATAAACATTATATTATATGAATACAAAACAATTTCAATTGATTTTTGTAGTTTTTTTAAACAAAAAATCGATGACTAACTAAACAATGACGCAAAGAGAGGACAGCTATAAGTTCGAGTTCGGGCGCATTAAAGCTCTTCAGGAGGAAAGACTACACATCCAGAAGAAGACGTTCACAAAATGGACCAATTCTTTCCTTCAAAAGGTATGTCATTATATGTCATCAGTTTGTAAGACATTTCCTCTAATGTAACTCCACTTTAAATAATAACACGAATGACATTCACATATGAAAGACGGCTTCAAATTATAATGAACTCTATTTTATTGTAATGTTTTTCGTTTTCTCTTTCAAACAACTTAATGATTGCTTAAATATTTTTTTTGCTAAAATTGTTTTTTGAGAGTCAAAAAAGACATTTGTTTATTATAAGTAACTTTACTTAAAAGCGAATTATTTGCACTAAAATTCACACATGAATTGAATAACAATCAGTAGATCGTCTATTGGTATACATTTTAGCAATTCGCCTGATAATTGTGGTTTTAGTTTAGAGCCGCCACCCCTCCCCTCCCTAGCAAAAAGACATGAGACCCCAGTTTGAGTCTTTGGAGTTTAGCAAACATATCAATCCCATAGAGCTTAAAGAGATATTAATTTTATGGCAATGTTAAATCTATGGGTAATGCTAAGTTTGTGGGTAATGTCAATTCTATGGTAATGTTGCTATAGTTAAACTTATTTGACTTGTTAGTTATGATATTTAAAAGCTATTTTAAAGTACTTTAATTTATATTTTGTGCATCACTCGAATCGTATTTAATCGATAGCATTGCTTGCAAACCNCTCTCTCTCTCTCTCTCTCTCTCTCTCTCTCTCGAATGTGTTTTCACTCCACTTGTCTCAACAAAACCATATTTATATCAATTTTTATCATAATATCAAACATACATGTATAACATATTATTTGATGCAAAATATCCGGTAATTAAAGACAAATTCTGATAATTTGACTGAAATTTGAATCGTGAAAACAATTGTATATGTGATACAACTTTTAGGCAGTTTTTGTTTCATTTCAATAACTTTGAAAACTTTACAAAAATAGACAATTTGTGCACTGATTTGAATGTGAAGACAGAAAGATAGATAACTTTTGATGTCATATCTGAGTCCAAACTAATTGACTTATTTTGTGAATCGATTACTGGTATATGTTATCAAAGGAATTAAAGACATTCAACAAATAATTATCAAATGATAAGTTAATGAATGCAATTATAGAAATATTTCATTTAAAAGGATTTTAGTTATATAACTTTGAAAATAGTTAAATAACTTAATGTCTATAAAATGACATTTAAAATGACATAATATTTTATATAACGTAATGTAAAATATATCTAATATGAAAGCGAATGATGAAAGAGTGAATGAGTTGTGGTTGTGATGGATCTGATGGTTAAACACGTCGATAATCTCTGCCTAAAAGCACAAATACAATAAAAATCATAGAAAAAAGTAAAAATATATATTATTGTTAGTGAATAGACTAAAAGCAAATAGTTTTCGTTTGTTTCTATAAAGTGATCCATAACTGGAGAGGTATTTTGTGTGTTATCTATAATTTTTATAACATTCAATCAAAATACAATGATAAATAAATGTATAGTTATTCTAGTTTTATGCCACATCTCAATAGTGTTATCAAAACATTTTTTATGAGGCTTTTCATTATAAGCTTATTTACTGAGGCGTTAACACAATAAGTTCTATTGGTTTGTTTGGTTTGTTTGATCTTTCAAATTAAATAGCAGTTAATTGTTGTCCAACTATTTTAACGGCCATATTATTTGACAACGTGTTTGTCGTAATAAGTTGTGACATAATGTTGTGATTCAACACTGGATGGTCTAATTGTGAGTCGCTTTCCATTGGGATTGTGTGTAATATTTAGTGTAATATTTAGGAGGAAAGGCAGGAAAGGATGTTCACTATTCACAGTTAAGGTCAAACCTGTTAGAGCTAGAGTTTATTCAACAAAATATTTTGCCGACAAGAATCCAACCACTTGTTGCCTAACTTGAGGCCAGTTATATAGTGAGTAACTATTTAATTATATTATACAATATGTATGTTATGTTATGAGCAATGGGTCTGTAAAGTGAATATATAAATAAATCATACAATTAAGCGCAACCTATTTATATATGTTTTGCTGTGATTCTCGACCTTTTCATATATTTCTTTCATATATATCTTTCAAACCAAACAATTGTTTCTTTATTTGTTTGTAAATTACCGAATAATTAATTGATTTTATATGTTTGAAAACTTTATGGCATTTGAATTGAATATCAGTTTAAAATCTGTATTTAAAAAGTAATAAACAGCCAATAGTTTGCGGGAAACAAAACTTTATTTGAGCGCAAATGTCAACCACTTGAGAGTTTAGGTGTGTTTTATAATGGGATTTACAACTAATAACTGTTGGTTATGTTTAGCACTATATTTATACACAATATTATAAAAGGTATTCATTATGCCATTAAAGTCTGTTATGTTATGAATCGACAAAATCGTTAAGTTTTTAATCAATCACAATAATGGGAACAATTTTGCACTCAATTCTGGCCATAATTTGTTGGATTATAAATTAAAGCTAAAACCCTTTGCTTTAATTCAATTCAATAGATTAGATGAATTAATTTTATTCAACAATTATTTGTGTGTCAGTCGTGTTCATAATTCAAGGATAGATTGGTTTCTGTATTAAACAAATTTTTTCTGGTGTTTTATTTTATTTTGTTTTACTTTTTTGCTGCCATTGAGTGAAAAATTTATTTTCCGATTTATTATACTTTAAGTGTCTGTAAAGTGTATGAAACGAATTATAGGAAAATATTTAGCAAAATGTATTGTTTTACAGACAGAATCATGAGAACGCAATTATAGTTATGTTAATCAAATATTTAGCACATCTATTCGTGTATTGCATTCAATTATTTCACTCCTCTATTACCGATCATAACTATTATGTTATTATACAGTATTATAACATAATAGTCGCAAGAATCCCGTGTATTCTCTGCAGCTAATAGTGAGGTCCGGTTTTTAAACCATAAGTAAAACATACCTTCGGTTTCAATTCGTGTGCAAACGAACCCAATATTACTCTCATCTTAAAAATTGTTGTCATAATAAGGCATCAAAAAGACACTAAACTCTCGATATTGATAGGCTTTGCGTCTCATTTCTATTACTAGTGAACGAGAATATATTTATCTGTATTTGATTTTAAGGCAAAATGAAAATATGTTGAATCGATTGCAATATTTTCATCAATAAATATCTACTTCAGACCTTCGGGTGATATAAATAAAACATATAATCGATAGTATTTTGAATGTATTTTCAGATTAAAATGTATAAATTCTTGACATGGAGTGGGATTTGATAATTATTTTATTAGATCACGATTTTTTATGCTTTGAAACAATCACATAATGTTTCATTTTTACCAAAAATAACATTTTTACTATATTTTATTGCATAATAAATATTATATTATATGAATATAAAACAATTTCAATTGATTTTTGTAGTTTTTCTAACAAAAAATCGATGACTAACTAAAGAATGACGCAAAGAGAGGACAGCTATAAGTTCGAGTTCGGACGCATCAAAGCTCTTCAGGAGGAAAGACTACACATCCAGAAGAAGACGTTCACAAAATGGACCAATTCTTTCCTTCAAAAGGTATGTCATTATATGTCATCAGTTTGTAAGACATTTCTTCTAAATGTAACTCCACTTTAAATAATAACACGAATGACATTCACATATGAAAGACGGCTTCAAATTATAATGAACTCTATTTTATTGTAATGTTTTTCGTTTTCTCTTTCAAACAACTTAATGATTGCTTAAATATTTTTTTTGCTAAAATTGTTTTTTGAGAGTCAAAAAAGACATTTGTTTATTATAAGTAACTTTACTTAAAAGCGAATTATTTGCACTAAAATTCACACATGAATTGAATAACAATCAGTAGATCGTCTATTGGTATACATTTTAGCAATTCGCCTGATAATTGTGGTTTTAGTTTAGAGCCGCCACCCCTCCTCTCCCTAACAAAATAACATGAGACCCCAGTTTAAGTCTTTGGATGTTCATGGAGTTTAGCAAACATATCAATCCCATAGAGCTTAAAGAGATGTTAATTTTATGGCAATGTTAAATCTATGGGTAATGCTAAGTTTGTGGGTAATGCCAATTCTATGGCAATGTTGCTATAGCTAAACTAATTTGACTTGTTAGTTACGATACCTAAAAGCTATTTTAAAGTACTTTAATTTATTTTTTTCATCACTAGAATCGTATTTAATCTATAGAATTGCTTGCAATCCTTGTTTAATTTTAATTTATGCTTATTTTGAAATGAATTTAAATAAAGTTCATTACTTTTCAACTCTATCTTTATTTTGTTACGAAAATATGTTCAAAACTTAATTACAATGATATGATATTCCGACGACAGACAAAGCTATCGCTGATATTATTGTTATTTTTTCAGACGATATTATAAATTATTGTTAACTCAAGCGAAACAAAACATGCTTAGAGTTGAGACTATTTTAACCATTTTTGAGATAAATAAATAAATCATATTTTATTTTGACTCTCGATTGTGATCGCTATTTATTACTACTATTAATGAGCCGTTAATCGCATAATATATCGTAATATAAAACACATTTATCGGCATTTTTATACAAACACTGCTCTGAATATTATTGCCATTAAATTAGTCAAACATTTGTTTAAAAATCAGTTTTTTGCGTAACATATAGATTGAAATCTTTAAAATAGGAAAATTGTTTCATTCCTTTAATAGTAATTTTAATACATTTCTAAATTTCGCCCAAACTTTAAGATTTAGATTGGGTTTGAGCTCAATATGATTTTATTGGTGCTATAATTGTGAAATATAACCACAAAATACAAACAGTTGTTTCATTGAATGTATGGAATCATTGAATCAATGATTACTGAATATTTTATCCCAAATTTAGCGTAAATTATAATACAATAGCTTTATTACATTTTTATGTAACAATTATAATAGCTTTTATATGAATCATCAAAATTTTGTGTTTTTTGTCGTTTCATTTTAATGTATTCATTCATTTCCTGATCGACAGCTTTCATAAAAACTGAATTTCTTATTTCAAATATAGTTTATTTTTCGTTATTTTTTGAAATAAAGCCAAAATTAATTGATAACTAATTAGGAGTGAATAGTAATTAGTTATTTTTGTTTATTGTCTCAAATATTTCACAAAAAATTATGAATAATAATAATGTGGGAAAAATAGCTTAATGTTAAACCCTTTATAGCTATGATTTATATACTGATAATAAAATCAATTTCTGACATATATTCGTAGTTTTAGTTAAACACAAGTGTATCAAATAAAATTGATTATAATTATATTTAAACAATTATTGCATGTGAAGTGTTTTCTTATTAACAATAAGATTTTTATTGTTATTTCCGGTAAAATTCATCTAAAATTAATCATTAAATTCCGAGAATTGTTGTTCACATTTAGACAATACTGTTATGCAATGAAAGATTTCAGCAAATATTTTATTCATTTAGTCATTAAATTAAATTTATTAAGTCATATACACTGTATATTATACAGTATAGTGTAAAGCATATGAATAACTAATATATTGTTAGAATCACATTACATAATATTAAACAAACTATAGATAAATATTAAGAAAATCCCACAAATGTTTATAAAATATTTAAAGTCTTGTTTTAAATCCAAACTGACTTCAGAGCCATAAATCATCGACTTTTTTACGTTTAGAAACATAAATTTAATGCTCAAAAATGTTCTAATATTTTGTACGAAACAATGGCACAAATTTTAGGCCCGTATGGAAGTGGACGACGTCTTTACAGACCTATCGGACGGCAAAAAATTACTCAAACTTTTAGAAATAATAAGCGGCGAAAAAGTGGGAAAACCAAATAATGGCAAAATGCGAGTCCACAAGATTGAAAATGTCAACAAAAGTTTGGCTTTTCTTCACACAAAGGTCTGAACTTTACATTCATTTCATTCACTGTTAATCGCATTTACAGTAAATAAACTTCAGATTACATATAAAAAACATTTTAAATCTTTATTAATGTCTGGAATAAAAATTACATAATTCTTACATTAGTTTGATGTATAATTTCTGTCAGTTTTATTTTGCTTTATAACGCAATCCTTTTCTATGAATTATTAATTTTTTTGCATAACTTTAGGTCCGATTGGAAAGTATCGGAGCCGAGGATATTGTTGACGGAAATAAAAGACTAATATTGGGTCTGTTGTGGACAATAATACTTCGGTTTCAAATCCAAGACATTGAGATACAAGTGGATGAAGAGAGCTCTGAGAAAAAGCACGCAAAGGAAGCGCTACTGCTTTGGTGCCAAAGGAAAACCTCAGGCTATCCTTATGTAGACATTCGCGACTTCACACAGAGTTGGCGGTCGGGTATGGCTTTCAATGCCCTCATTCACGCCCATCGACCAGACCTTATCAACTATAACGCCTTAAACCCCAACAATCCGATCGATACGCTTAACAATGCCTTCGAAGTCGCGCAAAAAGATTTAGGCGTCTCTAAGCTGTTGGACGCCGAAGACGTGGACACAGCAAAGCCCGACGAAAAATCTGTTTTGACTTACGTTTCGTCATATTATCACACATTTGCCAAAATGAATAGTGAGATGAAAGGCGGCCGAAGAATCGCTAATATAATCGCCCAATTGATTGATGTCGATAGGGATCAACTCAATTACGAGATGTTTACCACCTTAAATGAGTTAACCTATGTTTACTTTTAGTATCTTGACCTGCTGGCTTGAGACCGGTTGTCAAACCTACCTTAGGTTTTTCTTAAGGAATTTAAGTTTCTTATGGCTTGACATCTCTTTGGCGGGAAATATAAGGAGAGGTCCGAAATAGAAGTGCTTCTGTTTAAGATTCAAACACAGATGAAGTCTTTGGGCCAACCGTTGTATTCGCCACCGGAAGGCAAACTCGTTCAGGACATTGAAAAGTCTTGGACTGCACTCGAAAAGGCCGAATACCGGCGGGAAGTGGTCTTACGTGAAGAGTTGTTACGTTTGGAAAAATTAGAAAATCTCGCCTTTAGTTTCGAAAGGAAAAGCGTTTTAAGAGAAGGATATCTGAAAGAAATGATTCAAGTGTTGAGTGATCCCCGATATGGTAGTCATTTGACACAAGTCGAGGCAACCGTCAAAAAACATGAAGCAATCAGTGCTGACATTATGGCCAGAAATGAACGCTTCAAGAGCTTATCAGTGATGGCACAGGAGTTGATTGACGGCAACTATCATAGCAGTGATGCCATCAAACAAAGGGAACAAAATATTACATATCAATGGCAACAACTCCTGGAACTACTTCAACGACACCAAAACAATCTCAACACTGCCTCCAGTTTTATGTCTTCTCTTCGAGAAGTGGAGACAATTAGAAATGAGATCAAAGAAATGGAGACATCTCTCACTTCTGATGCCAATGTTGTGGTGAATCATCTGTTGGCTGTCGAGGATCTGCTCCAAAGACATACACTGATTGAAGCGCACGTGTCATCACAGGGAGAGACGATTCGCAAACTCAATAATATTTCTACTAATTTAACGAAAAGCGATAAAAAGCAGAGCATTTCGGACGCCATCGAAATCATCGGCAAAGAGGCGCCACTTCTGGTCAAAGGATTGGAGTCTTTAAACAACGAATACTCGAAACTCAAAGAGTTATTAAAACTGAAACGATTGAAATTAGAAGAACTTCGAGCTTATTATCAGTTCGTTCAGGACGTCGAAGAAGAAGAGGCGACTCTTAGCGAAAGACAACGTATATGTCAAGCGATTCTTCCCTCCAAAGACCTTTTGGCAGTCATTTCATTACAACAAAAGCACAGCGTTTTGGAGACTGAAATCAAAGCCTATAAGAATCGACTGAAGAAAGTGATAGACAGTGGAGAACAACTAATTGCCGCTAAACATCCGGAAAGTGCGGACATTAAGGTTAGAATCAATAATTTGACGCAACAATTGGATCGATTGCATGAATTGGCGGATCAAAAGACTAAGCAATTGTCGGATGCGATGGAAGCGTTTCAATACCACACCGACGCCAATGAAGCCGAGTCTTGGATGAAAGAAAAGAGTCAATTAGTGACCTCCGAAGACTACGGGAAGGACGAGCCCTCAGCTCTGGCTCTTCTGCAAAGACATTCTCGTCTGGAGAGTGAGATCAGCGCCTATGAGAATGACATCAAACGTCTTAACACACAGTCCGACAAAATGCTTAAATCGGGAATCGCTTCGCTATTTATGATATGCGGCGACGCCTTCTCCGCGGCCACCGCTGCCGGCGCTGGAGATATGGATGACATGAACGGAACCGAAGAATGGGTCGAAGAATTAGTCGAGAAAGAGGTCGTCCAGGAAGTGGTGGAAGAGTTGCGAATACCGCAAGTGATGGCGTTATACCCGTTCTCAGGTCAGGACAACTTCGTTGTGGCCAAAGGGGAGAATCTGGTTCTGCTTCAGAAGACCAACAATGACTGGTGGAGTGTTCGCAAAGACAGGGAGAGAAAGGATGGCTTCGTTCCCGCAAATTATGTCAAAGAAGTTGAACCAAAAATTGTCAAAAAACACGTCAAAAAACCGATTAAAATATGGGAAAAACAAAAAGTGAAAAAATTTGTGAACAAAAAAGCGAAGAAACAAAACAAGAGAAACAGTAAACGAAGGCTTAGTATCATATGTGACGCCGAAAGTGTGGAACAGAGGAAGAAAAACATTAATTCTTCGTTTGAAGAACTGATCGATTCGTGTAAAACGAGACGACAATACTTGGAGGACGCGATCCAACTCTTCCGCTTTAACCGTGAATGCGATGCATTCGAGTCGTGGATCAAAGACACGGAAAGTGCAATATTGGACACAACGAGACTCTATCAGCAGCAGAAGAGTCAACAACAAGACCTCACGGATCCCATCGAGAAGTTGAGAAAAAAGTTTGAGAACTTTATCACTGAATTGTCGGCCAATCGGTCAAGACTTGACGAAATTGATCGCTTGGCCGATGAGTTCACGTGCGGAAGAGCTCAACACTACTCATCAGTAATAAAACAAAGACAAACTCAGATCCAAAAGAAATGGGAAAAACTAAACCGATTGATGACAGAACTCGGGAAGAATGTCGAAGGATTGACAACCGTTGAGATGTTCAACAATACGTGCGACGAAACGGCCGAATGGATGTCAGAGAAGTTGGACAAAATCGACGTCAGGGGAGACTTCGGCAAAGACCTCAAGACTGTTCAGGCACTCCATCGCAGACACGACAACATCGAGCGAGAGTTGGCTGCAGTCGAAGAGAAGTTCAATAAAGTGAACCTTTTGGCCGATTCTGTCAAGAATTCATATCCGACTGAAAGGAATAATGTGTCGATTCGTCAGAAAGAATTGGCAAACATTTGGGAGAGGGTTAAGGAAAAGGCTAACGAAAGGCGCGCCAAACTCGATGAATCTCTCGGTCTTCAGGTTCTCAAGAATTCTGCCAATGATTTACTCAATTGGATTCGAAGAGATGTCAAACAGAGTCTAAACAGCGATGACGTAAATGTGGCCAAAGATGTGGCGACAGTCGAGCACTTGATTGAAAAACATGAAGACTTAGGCAAAGAGATCGCCGCACATAACGACGAGTTCAATGATTTGCGACTTTTGGCCAAACAATTAATCAAACAAATGGGAAGCGAAGAAGTTTTGCCGATACTTAACGAACTCAATGAAGAACAAGAAACCATTCATATTGGATGGCAGGAGAAGAATAATTGGTTGAGACAATGCAAAGACCTAATGATCTTCAACCAAGAGGCGGACCAATTGGACACATTAACGAACTCTCACTTGACTTTCTTGGAGTTCAATGATTTGGGAGAGACATTAGATTCAGTGTATGGTTTGCAGAAAAGACACGAGAATTTCATCGCCTCGTTGTTAGCGAACGACGAAAGACTGCATTTGTTTGGAGATATGGCCGACAAACTGATTGACGCCAAACATTACGATTCAGACAACATTCAGATGAGACGCAAACAAGTGATCGATCGGAGGGTTAGTGTGAAGGAGAGGGCACTCGAGAGGACACGAGTGCTCAACGATGCGCTCAACTATCAGGAGCTGAGAGCAGATGTGGAGGACTTCCAGAGTTGGTGTTACCATAAGAAGAAGATTGCGAGCGACGAGTCGTACAAAGAGTTGCAGAATATGGAGAGAAAAGTTCAAAAACACTTAGCATTTGAGGCAGAATTGGCCGCAAATCAGTCGCGACTCACGGCTATCAACGCCAGGGCTCGAGACCTCATCTCTTCGTCACATTTTGCCGCCGAAGCCATCGAAGCGATGGTGAAGTCTATTAACGATCAGTGGATGTCATTGTTTGCGTTGACGTCAAGTCGTGGCCAACACTTACGTCAGGCGTCGTCTCAATTGGATTACAACCAAAGTGTGGAAAGAGCTAAACAACGATTGGCTGAACTCAACAAAAGTGTCACATCTGTTCAAATGGGAACAGATCTGCGAAGTTGTAAGGAATTGATCCAAAAGCACAACTCGTGCGAAGTGGAGGTGAAGACGTGGGAGAAGAAGATGCAAGAGTTGATCCAAAGGGGCCAAGAGATGGCCGAAACCCATTTCGACGGCCAAAACATTGTGCAGACGTGTTATGCAGTGAACGAGAGTTTGTCTCAAATGAAGAGTCCGTTAGAGGAGAGAAGAGTCCGACTCTTGGAGTCGTTTAAGTTCTATGAGTTTGAGTTTGAGATCAATGCAGAACTTCAGTGGATTCGAGAACACTATCCGTCGGCCAAATCGCGAACCGTTGGACACAATCTGACGGACGCTCAGAATGTGATGAAGAAGTGGAAGCAAAACCTCGAGATGCAGACGTGTTATGCAGTGAACGAGAGTTTGTCTCAAATGAAGAGTCCGTTAGAGGAGAGAAGAGTCCGACTCTTGGAGTCGTTTAAGTTCTATGAGTTTGAGTTTGAGATCAATGCAGAACTTCAATGGATTCGAGAACACTATCCGTCGGCCAAATCGCGAACCGTTGGACACAATCTGACGGACGCTCAGAATGTGATGAAGAAGTGGAAGCAAAACCTCGAGCGAGAAGTGTTGGGACACGAGTGTAAGATCCAGAAGACATTGACAAAGGGCGCAGAACTGGTCCAACAGAAGCACTTCCGGAGCGACAGTATCGACAAAGAGTGCCACCAGTTGTCCGAGAGTTGGACTCAATTGAAACAATTGGTTTCGGAGCGCAAGAAGTTGTTGGAGATATCGCTCCAAATGCAACACTTGTTGTCCGAAGCGAATGAAGTCGAGTCGTGGATGAATGAGAGGTTCAATGTTATGAACAGCAATGACTTGGGAACGCTGTTTTCAGAAACTTGTGTATTATCTGCGATACCCAACACATCAGTCAATGTTTCCAAATCTTTTTCAACTAAATTATTATTTGTATGAATGTGTGAATCATCCGATGCTTTACTTTCTTTAACTTTTCTGTTGTTTTTCTTCTTTTTTCTATTATTTTGATTTTTAGGCAAATCTTTTGTCTCTTTATTTATAGAAGTGTTGATCGATTGGATCACGTCTTCAATTCCATCAGTTGTTTGTAAATTATTTTTATCGGAATTCTGTTTACTATTAGAATTGGAATCTTCTATAATCTCAGTGTTTATGGAATTCTGATTGAATAGACTTTCTTCGTTAGGTTGTGTTGAATATCGCATATTGTTTTCATTTATCATCATTTCTGGTGTCATTTCATTTGAGATATTATCCAAAACTTGTGAATTTTCTGAAGTTATCAATTGATTTGAATTAATTGTGTCTATTATTTCTTTGTCCTCAATATTTTCTAAATCAACAATATTTGGATCAACTTTTATAGAATCGTTCGCCGGTTTCAATACCTCATTGATATGTTCAATATTTTTAAGGTTAGTTTTATCCAAATTCTGTTCACCAATAGAATTGTTATCTTCAATAATCTCAGTGTTCATACAATTTTGGTTCAATAAATATTCTTCTATTGAGTTAGCATTTGTTGGTATATTTGAAGTATCATATGATCCCGGGATTAGTATAGTCTCGTCCACCCATTCGGTTGACTGTCTTTTATCAAAATCAATGACACGTTTATTGTTGTTGTTTCTCATTCGAGGCGTGAAATGAGCACTAATTGTGCTTTCGTTTGATTCAGAAGAAGAAGCTTTCGTGTAATTTACAGTTGTAATTATTTCATTGGATATAATTTGAGAAATGTCTGAATTGATTGATTGATTTGAATCATTAAAATTGACTAATTGTTTATCATGTGGATTCTCAAAATGTTCAACATTTTGATTAATTATATTTGCATTATTTTCATTGATTTCATTGTTTAAAATGGAAATATCATTTGAATTGTTATCTGCAATAACACCGCTAACCATTGATTCCAACTCATCATTGGACATAACACCAGATTCTTCGATGACTTGAGTTTGTAATGATTGTGTCTCACAATTAACAGAAGTATATTCAATAGAATTTACTTGATTTGAATCCATTGTTTGTTCACTTGTTGTCGGTTCTGATAATAGTTTGTTGATTAATGGCTGATATCTATTGAATTGATGCACATCTGCGGCGTTGAGTAGTTTATTACGATAGGAGTCGATCAGGATTTGCAAGTCTTTCCACTTATCGTTGAGAAGATGTCTGCGTCTGTCGATAGCGGAGGGATTGGACTGCGATTGCGGTGACAGTTGTGGTTGTGTTGGATGTGATGAGTGCTGGTATTGTGTGAGGAGTTTGTCGGCCAAGAGATTGATTTGTTTGAGCCGTTTGTCGTCGACTCTCATATCGCTGTCGACGTCATCTAATTTCCTCTGAAGAGCCAAACAGTGCTCGAAGTCCTCTCCGGTGTCGTTGTGGCCGACCATCAGTTCCTTGTCTCTGATCCAAGACTCGACTTTCTCGACATTCTGGTTGAACTCAAGCATATCCTGCGCTTCTTCGAGACCACGGCCTCTGAGTTCGCAGTCGTGGAGCAATTGATTCCATTTGTGGATCAGTTGTTCCAATTGTTTGCGAATCTCGAGTGACTTTTCGTGAGACTTAGAGATGAGATGATTTGCTTTCTGAGTAATGCTCTGAATGTTGGGTTCGTTTGCCTGGAGTTCCAATTGGAAGGACTGGTGTTTCTGCAGTTGTTTGATCTTCAGCTCCAAGTCGTGAGAAATTGGATTCAGTGGATTCACCTCTTGCTGGACGTCTTGTTTGCATGTGTTGTGCAGTTGTTTGGCCTTCGAGTCGATCCAATTGTCCGCTTCCGAGGCATCTCTTCTAAACTGTGCCAAAACAAGCGAATCCAAGAGTCGTTGTCTGCGAACGAAACACATTTCCTTCACTCGAAGCCGTTTACCACTGATTTCGTCTAATTTTGATTTTATTAACTCTGACTCGAAATGGTTTTGTTTAATGAGTTTAAGACCCGATTCCTGGAGAGACAGGAGTTTCTCGTCGTGAGTGACGACCACTTTCTCGAAGGCCTCGTGTTTCTTGAGGTTCTGCTCCACCTCTTCGACAGTGAGGCCCAAGTCGTCGCTCTGGAGACGAGTCTCCTGTTGTTGACTCAATTGATCCAATTGTTTGCAGTCGCGGATGAAGAAGTGGACGTCAATGAGTTGATCCAAATAGACTTTCTTGAGCTGCCATTTGTTGTGCAGAGAGTCCCTGAGCTGAACCACTCGGTCGAGCATTTGGTGGATGTCTTGCGAGGCGTAATGAGTGACACCACTGGAGGTGTGGACACAGAGGCGGGCCGTGTCGGTGACGGAGGCGAACACCGGTTCCCGGGCCTCGATCTCGGCTTTGAGTCGCTGGTGGTCTTGTCTGACGAGTTGTGCGCTCTGAAGGTCTCTCACTTTGTCGATGGTTTCCATCTGTTTGTCTAACCCGAGCGCCCAGTGCTCTAAGTCTCGGACTGAGGCGTGCAATGCCTGGAACTGATACGACTGCTGGAGCTGTTGTTTCCTAACCACCACTTTCTGCTGCAGTGCTGTCCAGTGCTCGACAACTATGGCCTGTTGTTCGGCGATATGAGCGGCGTTTCCGCCCGGATATGAGGCCTGGAGTCGCACCGAGTCGTCGATCAACACCTGTAGCTGAGCCTCGAGTGCCACCAAATCGTTCTCAAAGACCTCGTGTTTGCGGATCAGACTCTCCACTGAATGCAAGTCTTTTCCCAAATCCGAGGAATTAATGTAACAAAACTTGTCCTCAATTCTGAACAGCGCTTCCGCGACGTCTCGGTTGAAGCGATGTATCTGTTGTGCGGCCGACAGCTTCTGCTCTCTCGCCTCCAACGCGTCCACCAATTGGTTCCAGTGGTCCGACAGTTGAGTCAAGCGGACCAACACTGCGTCCAACGGCTCCAGAAGTGAGCTTTTGGTCAGCTTTTGTCCCGCAGACACACACACGACGTGTCGCTCTTCGTTGGCCAGTATTTGGCGCTTGAAGTCGAAGAACTTCGACTGAAGGATCAGTAAGTGTTCGTAATCTTTGCCAAAGTCTTCGGACAGAGCGCTGGCCATCTGTTGGCTGATCCACGACAAGAATTGGTCGCTCTCTCGCATAAACTCATGTAAATGTTTGGTTTGAATCAAACGAAGCCGTCTTTGATTCGCCAGTCGTTGCAATGCTTTCATCTGTTGGTCGATGTCTTGCATGCGATTGACGACCAGTTTGTGGTCTGAGTTGTCGTCAGAGGTGTCAGTGCTGTCACTGCCGTCACTACTGCTCAGTCTCTGCAGCACTTCCTCCGACTGGCGACTCATCTCAACGATAATCGTTGAATACGTGTCCACTTCTAACTCAATGGCCTTCTGTTTGGTCAGCCATTTGATGGTCGAGTCTTCGTCTGTTCCCAAGTCATTGCTGTTCATAACATTGAACCTCTCATTCATCCACGACTCGACTTCATTCGCTTCGGACAACAAGTGTTGCATTTGCAGCGATATCTCCAACAACTTCTTGCGCTCCGAAACCAAT